GTATTTTGTATTATATAGCAGTGGCATCTCCCGGATCTTGACTCAGCAACATCGGTGCTGGTGCCGTCACTCAGGGTCCGAGTCGGACGAGAATCAATGAACAAGAGGCGAGCGAAGATGAACCGGAAGATGACCAACTCGCAAAATTTCCAATAGTTTAGGGAAAAGAAGTAAACAAATTGCCTAATCGCCATTGTGTGTAGATTTCAAGTTTCAGGGAATTCAATGAGCCCGAGCTCGAAATATATCCCGTTCCGGCCTGTCACTCCCTCGAGCGCGTGTTCAATCTAATAAAAGACCGCAAGCGCTTTGACATCACCGTTGCCAGATGGGGCCAATGCAACCAGAATGGGTGGGCAGTGCAGCCAATGGCCGATCCGTGCCTGCTCCTCCTACTCCTACTGCAACTCAGCCTCTATCGAGAGGGAGATTGAGCTTAGATTGGCCTCCTAAGCTCTTGCTTCCCTCGGATTGCTGGTGATACATCTGCACACGGCTTCGAGTACCGTTTAGAATTCTCACCAGCCTTATCGATTAGCCCCGCCACGCCGGTTCTTCGTCGGTGCCTTGCTGCGCCCAAATACGAACAAGACTCTCTGAAGGGCTCCCAAAACATCGCTGGAGCGCTGCGCCGGTGGGCCGCTAACTCGCCTGGGCACAGGCGGCTGCAGGCCCTGAACCCAGCGCTTCTCTGGAACAATGTGCTTCCCCACATGCGCTGTGGCGCTGTGTCTTGGCTGGTCTTGTGGCATCTGCAGGCTAAAATGAAAGACGGGAAATGATTCGATGCTTCTCCTTTTCCCCCAGTGGATAAGTCAGGAATCGAATCGCAACACCCATGAGTCGCTCGCCTCGCTAGCACCATTTCTTCGCTGCGTTCGCATCGTCTCTTTTTTCTGCTTGGACCTGACCGGTGGGCTTCTTTTTGCTGTGCCTTGCGTTTGCTTTTCTCTGTCGTGCGCGAGTTTGCTGGCGGCATCGTCGATATCCTCTACGCGGCCCAGTTTGCCAGTTGCACGGCCCCTCCTTGCCTGCCTCCATCGCCATGACCCTGGTCTGATTCCAAAGCCTCATCTTACAGCCCGCCAGCCGTCGAAAATCAATCGAAGCCGCCTGGGCCTCTGCTTGCTTGGGTACGGCGCAGCACCCTGGTCCTCCCACGCCGAATCTTCAACACGCGCACGCAGTCCCTTCCGCTACTCTCGCTTGCCAACCAAGTAGTAATCGCCAGCCAGACAAGACGGCGTCATGACGGGGGCGTTGAGCAAGCGCCAGCAGGCGCGTAACGAAGCGATTCTACAAGAGCTGGTACACTCCGTGCCGGGCAATGAACATTGCGCCGACTGCCGCGCGCGGAATCCATGTATGCATCTGCGTCTCTCTGTTCACACATCTGGTACAACCACTTGCTAACCTCGACTCTGTGTTACAGCCTGGGCATCATGGAGCGTACGATATCCCTCTCGCGATAGGCCTTTGCTGGCCGCCCGCGTCGTGATTTGAGATGATGTGTGCTAACTAGTGCAATTCACAGCTGGGCATCTTCCTGTGCATGCGATGCGCGACAATTCATCGCAAATTGGGCACGCACATATCCAAGGTGAAGTCGCTGAGTATGGATTCCTGGACAAACGAGCAAGTCGACGTGAGTGAATACCGTACTCTGTGTTTGAGCTCGTGAACGTCTTTGATGCTGATTTGGTTTGGATAAAGCATATGAAAAAGGTGGGCAACAATGCTTCTAACAAAATATATAACCCCGAGAACAAGGAGGCGTCGATCCCCATCGATGTAGACGAAGCAGACTCGGCAATGGAGAGATTCATCAGGCAAAAATACGTCACCAACGCTGGTCAGGGTGGCAGGCTCAAGAAACCACAGCTGGAAGAAGGCATTCCGCCACCGCTCCCACCCAAGAATTCCAAGTTCGGGTTCAGGTCGGCTTCGTCGATATTCCCACTATCTTCCCGGGCGAAGAAAGAGGCCAAGGCAGCCGCTGCGCAGGAACTTGCGAATTCCGGTTCCGGCCATTCATCGAACCATGCAAACAAGCAATCGAAAGTCTTTGGAGCCGCCGTGGATTACGGCCAGGGCGATACGGATAAGAAGCTGGCGAGACTACGAGACATGGGCTTCCAAGACGATCACAGAAACGCAACGATTCTGAGAGGAGTAAACGGCAACTTGGAGCGCGCTGTCGAGGCGCTCGTTCGTCTTGGCGAGGGCGATGGACAATCTCCTGGGCCCGTTCCGCCAGCAGCTGAACGAACATTGCGAACTTCAAGGTCATTGACGCCCGTGGGTTCGAACCCTGTAGGCCTCAACCTAGGCTTGAGCGTAACGCACAAGGACGCGACTCTAGAACGACCGACGACGGCAACGGCAGCGTCCACAAACCCCTTTGACATCTTCCCGCCGGCCCAGCCGCAGACAGCCCATTCTACTGGAACGCTTCAAACCAACAACCCTTTTATAACGTCGACGAATCCCTACGGAGCTCCGGCACAGCAGGCCAACCTTGTCACCCAAGCGTTCCAGAACATGTCTTTGTCTCCAGCAGCTCAATCGCTGTTCCCTCATCACACTGGCGGAGTCATCTCGCCGCCGCAGCATCATCAATACTCGCTGTATCAGCCACAGCAAGCTGCCCAGCCAATTCCTCAGCAATACCAGAGTCTAGGCTTTCAAAGCAGCATGTCGTACCCCCAACCTGCTGCGCAACCCCTAGCACCTCAACAAACGGGCTATAATCCGTTCTTCACGCAGACGCAGCCCACATTTCAGCAACAGCAACTGCAGCAGCAGCAGCAACAACAACAACCGCAGCAGGCGCCGCAGCAAAGTCTGTCATTAAATACTAGTCAGGCTGCGCCATATGGGAATAATCCATTCACACGGTCCCCGACTAGGATATCCTCGCCCTCTCTCACACAGATCCCGGAGCAATCTCTGCCTACCATGTTCCAGAGTCCTATGCCACTTCAGCCTCATTTGACCGGGACAAACCCCTTTTTGAACAATGGCGTACAGTACCAGCAGCAGCAGCAGCAACAGCAACAACAACAGCAGCCTCAATACTTTGGTCAGCAGCAACAGCAACCTCAGTTCTTTGGACAGCAGCAGCAGTACTATCAGCCTCAGCGTCAGGACAAGGCCTCGATCCTGGCTCTATATGGCCAACCGCAGGCAGCACGCCCTACTGCCTCCGAGCCTAACATGCATGCACAACCACCAGCCATTCCCGAGGACAGGGTTATGCCAGCTCAGCCAATGCAGACCATGCCCATGCAGTCCGCGGCGGCTCCGGCACAGTCACCCTTGGTCTCCTCGCAGCCCACTGCAGGTAACAACAACCCGTTCATGAAGAGCGGGCCTGCGGCGGTGGCCCCAGACCCTTTTGCCACAGATCGGAAGATTAGCAGGGAAAGCATGAATTTGGGGATGGACTTGGCATGGACAAACGGACGGCACAGCCCTGATGCCTTTGCAAGCCTCAGTGCGAGATATGGATGAGGGAGAGGAAGAGCTGGAGAGAATTTGTGTGATTTTTGCTTTGCTTTGCTTGCTTTGCTTTGCTTTTCTTTTTGCTTTAATGTTTCCCCCTATTTAAACCAGGCGCACATGCCAAAGCAATGGGCTTGGCACATTTGTTTTATTGTATATGCTTTGTGACGATTGGGCTGCAGAGGGTCATGGAAATCTATACCTGATACGTCGTTTGGGTAGCGAGATGGATGGTCAAAGAGCCCATCTGCTTTGATGGGATGTAAGTACTGGTCATAGCATACATGAGGACATACATTTGCGGACGATGTAGGAGTCTGTACATGCAGATATTTTACCCTTTTTTTTAATTCCGTATCTGATCAAAAAACCGCTTGTTGATGCACCTGAAGAGCAAGACTAACACTCGCACTGTCCTATCGTATCACCGGGTGTATTACATTGCTGGCAAATGTATGAGTATATATGTCTCAGATTGGGCCTTGGTCGTATCTTTCGAATTACGCATCTCTGAACATCTCTGAACTCGGTGGCAAAGATATAGCCAGATGGCAGTATTGAGGCCCGATGAAGGGCAAGGCTACCTCCGTGTCTGGGCTCAGACAGATGGGTTTCAACTAGACGCAATTTATCAAGGCTTCTCGCCACTACCTACCTAGCTCTTGTCTCTAGCCCTCCCTGAAGCACGAAGAGCTAAAGCAAGGCTAGAGCTAACATACAGCTAGAGCCTCCCACAGTGATTAATCACCTTGCAGAGCAACCAGCGTCGAATACGGGAGCATGTCTGGCGCCTGTAAGCACTTTGATGCATGCAATCCACGCTCTCTGCATAACACCTACACTGCACATTAACCACCAGCCCCCTATTGCCAGATACGACTCGCTGCATACGAGGAATGTCGCCGGCCAACGCTTGGCAGCACCGCATTTCGTCATCTCCGCCTGTCAAAGCGGAAGCTCGGTGCCACGGCCAAGCAGCAAACACAGTGACGCCGTCGCACTGTCTCACCACGCAGCGTGTGCGCCCAGAGACAGTGCGCACAGGCCCGAAGCCGTGCATCAGAGCGGTCCAACATGTGGGCTTGGCGACCCGGATGATTGGCACCGAAAGCGCCGCTGAACCGCTGTAAGCGGGCTGCTAATTAATGCTCCAGAAGCGTCCAGTCAGCACTGGAGTGGAAAAAGGGAGCCACACAGGCTCCTGTTAAAGTTCGCAGCGCATCTCCTCTCCTCCGCTTTTTTTTTTCTTCTCTTCTCTTCTGTCAACCTTCGGCTACACCAACCCGCATCGAACTCTTTCGACAAAACGCCCGTTCGGAGACATCCACGGAAACTGAATTGTGACATACAATCCGCAGCGCTTCGCTCAAGACTATAAAATATCGCGCTCTCCGATTCGATTCTTCGATCAGACCAAATTTTGAACGCACCGCTGCGCTGCAACACCACCGCACCAACTTCGCCACCCTCAGTCGACCTAGCTCTCAGCTCGGTATCTTCGCAGCAACTTTCCACCAGCCAGATTTCCCAGCAATCACCGTGGAACTCCATCGCAATGGCGCCAATGAGTAACCAAAGTATAAATTACAGTAGTAATTATGGCGAGGACTTGACTGCCCGCGTCAATGTCCTTGCCTCCTGCTATGTCGTGGACTCTGCCGCGAACCTCAAGGGCCTCCACTACTGCACTACGGGGGTCACAGGTATGTCTTAATTCACAGCTTCAGTTAAAAAAAAAATATCTCAGTACACTAATCTTCTCTCTTCGCTGTCTCTACAGGGGCGGAGTGGTATTCCTGAGGTCCCTTCCTCAGGCCTGCCTTCTCCTCCTTCAAGTCCCCCCCTCGCCGCACTAACCTCGTCCAACGAGCTCGCCCTTCTTCCTAAGCAGAAGAAGCGCGACATTCCGGGCCGCCGCCTGGAGCGACGAGGGGGGGCAGCACTCATGATCAGGGAAGAATGTGAGAGATTCTTCTGTGAGACCATGAAGACCGTGTTCCTTGGTGAGAGGAACCTGTCTACTCATGGCTCCGGCTTGACAGGTGCTTATTTGCAATCGCCGCCACCAGACAACCACCTCGCGGATCCATTCAACCAGGGCCCGGACGATGTTCCGGCTGGCCCGCGGATCGAGGCCTGGATGGAAGTCTGGGACTACGCCGGTGGAGCGAGCTTCCGCGCCTTTGTGGCTGACGATGGGAAAGAGAAATCACTTTTCATCTTCTTCGACACCGAGGGCGTGCTGGGAAGAGACTTGAAAAAGGCGTAAGCATATACCTCTCTTCTGTCCTATTCATGATATGATATCCGAGTGCTGACAATATCTCTCTCTGTACAGTCTTATGGCGCTCATCGAACTTGCTGATGGTCCTCTGGCATGTAGCCAGATTGTCACATGTCTTGATCGCCGCATGCCTGCGGAAAATGCTCACGACCTAATCAAGAGCCTTCAATGGGTTGGCTTCGACATGGCCACGCTGGATCACTGGGCACACGACCTGGACGTGACCAGCACCCAGTGGATCTTTATGGGTATGGAGCTTTAGTCTCCTGCACCCAATTACTTCTTTTCTTTATTCGCTATTTTTCTCTGCCCATTCGTCATTGAGAGAACATATTGCCTCGTTTCGTAACCGGATTGATTTCTTTTGCGACCTGCCTATTCCGTGTTTGTATGTGTTGATTGTGCATGACCAGCAGAGGGGCCAAACGGCGTTGGTAGTGATTCCGCCTGTTTCCATGGTTCTATGGGCCTAGAACGGTAATCATACTCTTCAAAGTTTTACTTTTCTTTACGTTGGCGCTGTTGGCATTTCTGCTTGTTGGTCATTGTTGTTTTTGGTGCGACCTGCCTCTGAAAAAAGTGTCTACATTTTGTTTCTTCTGCATTTGGAGTCGCGGCTCATAAGGATTAGACTGTACTGGAGTAGTCCGGACGGGTTTAGGCCAAGCAGTTATTCAGGTAGTTGCTAGTGATGGCTTAAGAATGGAATATTTTTCAAGCTTCTTTCATACATCTCCCACATAAACTATCATTAACATACAAGTATCATGTACCATATACATCTTGTGAATATTCTATAACAACTTTTCTCTCTCTCTGTAGCCATCTCTAAATCATAGGTCTCCCTCAAATTGTCGCACCACTAAGCCCTTCTCCTGTAAGAAATCCTTGACCTGTTTTACAGTGTACTCTCCTCTGTGGAACATGCCCGCACCAAGCGCGGCATCCGTAGTAGTCTTCTCAAACACCTCCTCAAAGTGGCCCGGGTTACCAGCACCGCTCGACGCAATGACGGGAATCTTGACGGCCTTCTTCACCTGCTCGATGAGCTCAAGGTCGAAGCCGCTGTTTGTGCCGTCCTTGTCAATGCAGTTGAGCAGAATCTCGCCGGCGCCCATGGCCTCGACGGCCTGCGTGAGCTCCACGACGTCCATGTCGCGGGTCTCGCGGCCGCCCTTGATGGTGCAGGCGTACCAGCAAAAGGCCTCGCCCTTGGGGCCGGGGAACTTTGTGTTGATGATGGCGTGGCGGGTGGCGTCGAGCTTGGGGACGTAGACGCGCTTGGGGTCGATGCTGACGACGACGGCTTGTCTGCCGTAGGCGCGGGAGATTTGCTCAATGGCCGTGTTGCCGAAGAGCTTCTTGCCGAGGGAGTAGTATTCTTCGGCGGCGAGTACGGCATCGGAGCCGATGGAGACCTTGTCGGCGCCGGATTTGAAGTACATGGTGGCGATGTCCAGGGCCGAGACCTTGGTGCCGTCGATGTCGACGGTATCGCGGATTCCACCACCGATGGTGAGCGGTACGAAGACGGTCTGTGAGGTCTGTCGAAGAACCTCCAGCATGGGGAGATCGGCGAGAGGGCAGTCCCGGAAGGAGGTGATGTTGAGGAAGGTGACTTCATCGGCGCCGGATTCGTAGTACTTCTTGGCCATCTCCACGGGCTTGCCCAAGTTTCGGACATTGCGGTCAGCTCCCTTTTCACGGACATCGTACTGGTCACCCTTTGTGACGACCAGATCGCCCTGGTCATTTGTTCGGACGTCGAGACAGGCAATGAGTCGGCGAGTGAGGCCGTCCTTGAGCTCGGTTGACGCCGCGCCGGATGGCATGACGGCTCCGAGGTTTTGCGCTCCAGAGCCCGTCAAAAAGGCCCGAATCGTTCGGAGGCCAGCAACGCCTGACTTTTCGGGGTGGAATTGGGTGGCATAGATGTTGCCCTTTGCAATGGCGCCGACAAAAGTCTCGTTTCCGTAGGTTCCCGTCGCAACTGTCCAGCCCTGGGCTTCGAAGTCGGCCTTGTTGTAGGGGGATTTGTAAGTGTGGACGTAGTAGTATTTTGAGTCTGGGCTCAGGTCGTACATGACCTTGCCTCCAGTGTTGGCGTTGTTCCATCCAATGTGCGGTACTGACTTGTCCGAGTCATCAAACTCTGTGAGTTTGGAAGAAACCAGGCCGAGTCCGGGAACCTCAGGATCCTCTTCTGAACCTTCAAAGAGGGCTTGAAGGCCGACACAGATGCCCATGAATGGTTTGCCGGCATCAATGTGCTTTTTAATGGCAGGCAAATAGCCCGCCTGGCCAAGCTGGGTCATACAGTGGCCGAAGTGGCCGACGCCAGGCAGAATGAGTTTCTGTCAGGAATAGGTGAGTCAAGCGGCCCAATATCTGAGACTGGTTTGAAAGGGCCATCCAAACAAACCTCTGCCCGGGGCACATCTTCGGGAGATCTGATCCAGTCAACCTCGTAGCCAAGCTTCTCAATGGCATTGACCAGACTGCGGATATTGCCGGCCACGTAATCCAGGAGGTGAACCGTGGGCATCTTGCCCGCTGCTGTTTTGCAAAAAAACGTTCCGCGGGGTTCTGGGAATAAGTGAGATGCGAAGGGTCGAAGGGTTCAGCCCCGTTGGTTTGTATACGAGGAGCGAGACGCCGCACTGGACTGGTGCTGAAACTTTAAGATTGGCAAGATTTCTAGTTAATATACTCCTCTCTTGCAATTTGTGAGTCAAACAGGAGTCTGAGTTAAAGAGTCAACCTACGATGGAGTGAGTCTCGAATTTCTTATCGTAGCCCTGATAACGGCACTTGAGAGCGATAGCGGGGTCTAGTCTTGATCAGTCGCGCGCTAAACCAGAAACGGGCGGCGTAGGGTCGTATTGGACTTGTCAAGCTTCAGCCCGCCAAAGCTATTCCTGCATCTGCAAAAGCTCTTTTTGCTCTACGTAATGGAGGCTCTGGCTGGAGGCCCGGCCTGACTCACGCGTTTCGCGGATTTCAATTGAAGTTCGAAGCCAGACGAGGAACTTCTTCAATCTACTAAACATTAAGCGCAATATCGCAGTCGATTTCCCAGCCGTGCTATTCCATGGCAAGGGTACATGTACGCTGTATCCACCATGGCAGCCGCAGCGTCAACCTCAGAACCAGTGGCGGCAAAAACAACAAAGTCTCCATGGCTAGACGAGGAACCTGGAGCTTTGCATGTCGACAAGGTCTTGGAACAGGTCTCACAGGATGACCAGGACGAATGGGAATACGAATACTCCACGACCGAGACGGAAGTAAGATCTCATGCTGCTACACAATGAGGATTTCTCATTTGCGAATGCTAAATCATTCTGCTCTTTAGGTCTACTATCTAACGCTTGATCTATCATATCCCGAGTTCAAAGAGCGCCCAGCAAAGGCCCATCATCACAGCCGGGGAGGATATTACAAGAATTGGTCCGATCAGTACGCTGATAACAATAACGCAGACGTCAAGCACGATAAACAAGTTGTTGGCCCACACGACTCAGGTCAGAACGAGAATAACAACGACGGAGACGACGACCAGGGCAACAGTGGGGCCCCAGAACCTGAAGAAGAAATTCAAGAAGAAGATGCACCTGGGGAAGAAGAGGAAAATGAAGAGGACGCCAATATAGATCCTCGTCTAAGAGCGATTAGCAACCCTGCGAAAGTGGCGAAGCCAGTGAAGAAGGACAAGGGGAAAGGAAAAGAGAGAGAAGATGCGGCTACGAAAGAGGCGGCCGAGCCAACAGCAGATGATAAAGAGTCCAGCGAGCCTCTGGAAGAGATCCAGATACTGGAACTCCACTCTCGCAACCCGATTATATCCTACAGAGGCCGAGTGTTTGAGGGTCAATGGGCAGAAGTAATCGGAACAGAGGCAATCTTGGCAGATCGCGAGGCCAACAATGCCACCCAGCTACCCGCCCTTCGCCATCTTCCTGGCGGTGTAGATATGCTTGGGGCCAGTTCCTCCCGTATCCTGACCACTGAAAAGACTTTGAAGTCCAAAGTGGCACAAAAGGACTCATTAAAGGCTATTCGTGAGGAGTGGAACATTCGCATTCCTCCTGGGAAAGATAGAACAGGCGAGAGGGCGCAACAGCTGCGCTTCCTGGAGAATCTTATCGCCCTCAAGAAGAAAAGGGGCAACGAAGATGAAGTTACCGTTTATGCGGTGGATGGCGCTGGAAAGGACTTTGATGACAGAAAGGGGCCTGATTTCAAACCTAGGAGGAAAAAGCCCAGTCTTGGTGTGGAAGAGAACAACGGTGCTAGCCAGAGCGACAGAAGGGAACATCAATATACAAGACGGAGTCAGGGCCGCCAAGCAGGCAGGCGAAAGAGGGTTTCTGCTATCAGAGGCACATCGGCAGCAACAGACAGGGGCGTTGTCCCCACTCCCGACTCAACTACTCTATCTACGCCAACGCCGGGCCATTGGGATGAACTCTTGGGAATACAAGGGGACGAAGATGACAATAATAATGACAGCCTCAGTGACATCGATGAGGACAGCGACGCACCGGCAAGAATGCGTGTTGGTTTTGATGACGAAGATGAGGATGACGATGAAGACGAGGATGACGAAGAGGATGAAGATGACGGAGATGTGATGATGCTTGGCTAGGGTTGATACGGAGAGCAGCGCTATCAGACTCTGAAAATAATACCCATTACAGTTTACTTGCACGAGTTCATCCAATCTCAACAACAAGCGACTGAGAGTTCGTTGTCCGCATCGCATATAATAGGAAAGATATCCATTGAGGTATTCGGCATAGTGCTTCAACAGCTCCACTAACCATAATACGAAAAGAAATATACGTAAAAGAAGCCAAAAAGCAAAAACATATAACAGCCGGTGTTCACTAATGGTCACCCACCTAACTACAGGTAGGTAGGCATACGTGTACTTTAAGGAAATTGGTAGAATCTTAACGGGCAAGGCTTGCAGAACAGCCAGAGGCTTCTACCTACATCCAAATATAGTATATCCTCTTCATCTTATTCTTATCTTTGTTACATGCCATCTCCCTCAACGCATAACTACACACACATTGGGGAGAACTCCAGATTGACGCTTTTCCAACTTAATAGCCACCCATATTTAATTTGGCGGTAGAGAAGAGAATACACTCTTTCTCCAGGGGCATTGAGGCAGACTTGCGCGCTAAAGACTGTCTGATGCTGGCTATGCGTGGTGCTGGGGGGGGGGGGGCCGAAATAGCATCTGGAATGACCACGCCGGAGATTGAGACTATAAAGACACGATTGCAGCAATCCCAAGACTACTATCAGCCTGCTGACCTTGAGTTCAAGCAGTGATTAACTAAAAAAAAAAAGGCCAGCATGTATAGGGAGGCGTGTCCAGATTTGCTTTCCTCTCCAAGGTTCTTTGTCCAAGGCGAGACGATGGTGACGAAATACATGAAAGATTACGCCCACCCAAAATTAGCATGTAACCGGCCAGTAACATTTATTCCCTCCCCAACGCCCCCTTCTATTTCCCTCCAACCTTACCAATGTCCAAAGATGGGTAGCCGCCTAATAGAGGGATATGACGAAGGCTATTGAGATCTAAGGGACATGGGCGATGATGATTTACATCTGAGCCTACCAGCGCGTTATGGGATACTAATAGTATAAGCACTAACCAGCTTAACTGTAGACCTCTGAACTAGAGACAATAATGACCATTAGTTATCAGGAGGTGCACCTTCCGAAGGACCCAAGGAGGTCCTCATTGACTGCTGAGTCTCCAGAGAATGGCAAGGAATCTTAGAATAGACAGAGTGGCTAGTGGCCAAAGAATAATAAGATAACTGCTATTGATGTGGTAGTGTTGTGTTGTGGTGGGAATGAAGGATAAAAAGAGAAACGGTGGACGATGTTTATCTTAAATCCTGCGCCTAGAGGTTGTTCCTTCCATCTTTACAAGTTCCCTCGATCTTTCTAAACACTTGAACCTTTTATATCTGATAATCAACCATCTACTGTTTATGGAGTCTCTTTCTCCGGACGGAATCAGAATGGAAGAGAATCCTCGCATCACCATAACTTCGGCTCTCCATCACATTTATATAAAACTACCTAGGTAGTTCGCTGAGCCGCTCTCCATTAGCTATATTTCCCTTATGAACGGCCCATTTAGCAACTGTCAGAGAACACCGGTTGTTGTTATTGTATACGCTTGCTATCTATAAAAGTTTTTCACCCATGCAGTTCTTGCTACTTACTTACCTTACATGATCAACAAGGAGATTAGGAATATAGAGTGCACTTAAAAAGTCATACTTTAATAGGGAAACAGTGTCATCAGGCAACCAGTACTCTATAATTGGTTAATTAAATCGGGATACCATCACCAGCCACACCGCCCTCTCATTGGCTACGGATGATAGTCAAAACAATGAACAATAGTAGGGATCCAATAGATGGCGGGTGCATGGCTAGCACTCCAACGTGACTACAGGTGTATATAGCATCGCCGTTATCGCTATTCTCACCCTTCGCTTCCGGGTAAATACCTGGTAGTCGATTTAAACAAGTCATGTGTGACAGTAAGCGAGTTGAAGATATAGCCTTGCATAATAAACAACTATATCGCGACGGGGCAGCGCTGGCCATTGGGCGATGCCATGTGGTGGTCTAGACAAGAGTGGTTGGCCAATGAGCTCTGGGCTACTGCACGGCTTGGAGATTTAGAACACAGCGGCAGCGGGACGATCTCTTGGCCGTTGAATATCAAGGGTTCACGGGATTGATCTATTTAGTAGGCGAGGCTAATATTGTACATGGTTGGCACGTTGTTGGCTTAATGGAGCCAGCTGCCCATGCTTTAGGATGATGCCCATTTGCCGCATGCTTATGGGACACACTGCCATTGGCTAGAGCTAGAAATGCGTGGTAGGGTGGAAGAAACGTCTGAATCGCGGAATTTGAAAAATAAGTCCAGATGCCATTCGCAATGGTGGTTTCAACCTGGGCATGGATACGGACACGATCAACGCAGATCCCAGTCTGGATGTGCGAAAATCTGTCTCATGGTCGAAGTACAGAGACTTTGATCATCTTGATATAGAGCCAAAAAGAGAACCCCGAGAGGACTGTCTTAGTGCGCATTAGCTTACGAGTACGACGCAGTCTACTATAGGGCCGAGTTCATCTTCACATTTGTCTGGTCTTCAATCCCGATATTTGAAGCGTATTTTATTTGAAGCGTGTATGCACGATCTAGCCATGAGATGAAGGTACCGATTGCCATTGCTAGATACCATTACGGGCCGCGGCAATGAATCTATAAACAGCAGAGGCTGAGCATGGCCGCGCAACAAGTAAGCAGGCCGTTTACACGTAAACACTAAGCCTGGGTGGTATGCAAACTAAGGTTCGCGGCTGCTTACACGGAGGCTGGTACCTGAGCTTATAGAAAAAAATAATGAAAAGGTCGGGATTATAAAGTGGTGTCCGTGATGAGAAAAAAAATTCTACAAGTAGAGGTTCCCAATGGAAGTGAGCACACCAGTGAGTGTCTGGCGAAATGCCTCAAAGGAACTGCAACAGCATTCGCTGTCACCTGTCTAGTATGACTTGGGTCGAATTAGCCGTCGTCGGAGTCGTGGTGTTCGTTTCTCTTTGGTCTTCACACCCTGCTTGTGATTCATGCATGAATGACGTACCCATCTGCTTTAGATTTCTGGGAGTATTACATGATGTGGTGGAGGCGGAAGAACGTGGAACTCCGGACGAGGCCGAGGAATATACGGATTAACCCGACGAGAAATAGAGAACTCAAGGAACAGACGCACCAAGAGCAAATACAGGTAAATAGCAGCAATACTGAGTACTAATTACAATTCAACGGATATGATGAAAGTACATGGCAAATCAATTGAAATGCGTCCATCGAACGACCAGTTACGTTTGCAGGGTAAGGTAGCCGGCACACTACGTGTACTGCAGTAGGTTAATATGACGAACCTTCTGGAGAAGGCTCTCGGGGAGTGCGGCTAGCGGGGAGAGTTCATGTAGACAGAGAGGTGGGGTCTGCGGAAGTGGGCGAGGATGTGAGGCAGAAGCGGAAACTCGCAAAGTGTCGGGAGGAGCGAGAACAAGCATTTTAGCTGATTCGGATTTCATGCGGCAAGTTGATCTACTGGGTATTGGGCTCTGGGTTGGTTTGCAGGATATACTGCCTACTAGCAGCAGCAGAAACAGGACCGGCGCACTCTAGACTGCCGAGCAGTACCGCTACTTGGAGGCACAAGTGCCAAAGTGCTTACTTGAGGTGAGTAAGGAAGGAGAGAAGGAGGGCAGTCGTGGCGCCGATGCATGCGGGCCTTGGCAGCCCAGAAAGCGGAATCATTGGCCACACAAGGGGGCAGGCGCGGCACCCAAGCCTTGGCTTCCTGTCAGGGCGGCTCAGCCGGACAGTCCTTGCAGAGTTTGGGGGGTCCACGCGCCTTGCTGGCTTCGTACTCGGACTCAGGCGCTGGGCTGGGGCGGTCAGGCATCGCTGCCAGGTAGCGGTACACGGCCTGCAGCTGCAGCGTATGGCTTCTAGCGTCCCAGCGCTCCGAGCGATGCCGAGTCCACTAAAGCACGCGCCTGGAGCCAACCACGTTGCCGCGTGGCGCACGATTCGGCCATGTAGCCCAGCGCTGGCCAAGTACCGCTACCTCTGGCCATTCTCGAATCGCCCTGGCCCTATTCTCATCGCCCGTACCGCTACGCCTGGCCGGTGCCGGGGTGGAGGAGCGGGCCACCTGCCGCCCAAATGCCTGCATGTACCTGGACTCTTGCGGGCACAAGTACCGCGACCTGCAACAGCCACACCCTCTGCTAAACCAGATCTTTGCATTCTTGAGCCGGGCCTCTTTTGACTTTTTTTTATTCTTGTTGCTCTTCTATTTCATATCTGCCCTCTCCTCCCCGCCTCCACTGTGATCTCGCTTGCGAATAGCTCGATCATGTCGCCAGGGGCGCCGTGACAAACCTCTTCCGCAGCGACTCTTTTCTCCTTTGTGATGCACTTATAATAACAACTGCGCCTTGCATTCCTAATCATCCTCCTCGGGTCTAAGATCTGTTCCGAGCCCCAGCCTCACCCGGATCTCCCGCCCCCCTGGAACTCTGACCTCTCGATCTCAGCCATTCTTTCTTTTTGCGATCGCAGTCTGCGAGGCTTTCCTGAACGATTATTTTTGCATCTGCGGTATACGGACAAGACAGCCGAACGTCGTCTTTGACGCACAGCCTTGCCAGATCGGTCGCCACTCTGCATCTTGAGCCGTGCCGCCTCTCCCTTTCACCTGGGAATACCTACACGATCTCCTTCGATTAGACCTAGTATACCACCTACCAACGCACCTTCCGACATATATTATACTGCTTTCCTTCATTCCAATCGCAAAACCATTTGCCCGTCGTTGCCGAGCGCTCTCGGGCACCGAAGCCGCCATGTATTGGGTGCAACGGTTCACCTACCTGTCGGTGCCGGTGCTATTCATCATCTTCATTGCTACCTACCTCCCCGTTATCCTCGATCCGACAACTAGAGGACCGGAGAGTCGCGCTCGTGATCGACTCTGGGTCAGCAGTAGCCCATATTTCTGGGATCGCCAAGCATGTCGATGGATAGGCTTGTGTGGTCTGCACCACCTGCGAAGGGACCCTGCCGTGCTCCCGCCCATATTC